TTTGACGATGTCCGGCGTGTACTGGTAGACGCACATCGTGTCGAGCGCCGTGGCGGCGTCGCCGTCCAGGTCCCCGACGACGCCGCGCTGCAGCGACGCCCGCGGCACGCCGTAGGCGCGCTGGAGCGTGTCGAAGTCGTCGAAGTCCGTGTCCAGGGCCTCGGAGGTGACCGTGACCCAGACGACCGCGCCCGCGCCGAGCTTGCCCTCCGCGAGCGCGGACAGCAGCGCTTGCCGGCCGTCGTAGCGGTAGCTCGTGACCCGGGCGGCTTTCCCGGCGCGCGCCGACGCGCGGGGGCCGCAGAGGCCGTAGCGCCAGTAGGTGTAGGCCTGCTTGAGGAAGATGTGGCCGCTCATGAGCGACGGCCCGCCGTCGCGCTTTGCGAGGTAGTGCTCCTCGACGGGCACCGCGTCGCCGCGTCCGCCGCAGGCCCAGGTCTCGACGGCGACGAGCGGCGCCACGACGGTCTCGCCGGGCGACAGGAGCGCCGCCTCGAAGCCCTCGTTCACGGCGTCGCGCCGCGCCAGCGCCAGCAGCGGCGCCGTGCCGTAGCCGTTGCCCACGAGGCCGAGGCCGGCGACGGCGGCGACGGCCAGGGCCGTCGCCGCGCGCTTGCCGATGCCATCGCGGCGCGGCGCGGCGAGGAGCGGCGTGCGCGCCGACGCCATCGATGGGGCTGCCTCGACGACTGGGCTGCCGTCCGAACCTTTCCAGCTGTGACGCAATGCTACTTATTTCTAAACAGCATCTTCGACTCGAAGCAGAGCACTTTGCCGAAGCTGCCCCGCGCGCCGTGAAAAAGCAAGGGGATATAAATCTAGATGGGGTGGCAGGCGAAACGCGAGGTCCTCGTACTACTCGGGGCCGCCGCTAGCGTTTTCTTTCTTCTTCCACGCCGCAGCGCGCGGGCTGAGTGCAACGATGGCGGGTCGCGCGGCGCGGCGCGGCTGCGGAACCCTTCGACGGGGCGGGGCAGCGAATTTGGGCTGCTGAGATCATTGCGTTGGCTCGCGAGCGCGACGGTTGTTCGGCGGCGGGACGAGAGGGCGGCGGTGTGAGTCGAGTGTGCGATATTTTCTTGTCCTTAGAGGTTGGAGGCGCCCTATGGGTACCCGCGGGGGGCTCGAAACCTTCAGGACACACTTTTCCCACGATCTCAGAGCCTGCGCAGCCCCGGCGCCGACGGTGTCGCAACACAGTTTCTCGGGCAGCGTGCGGGCATTCGAGGTCGAGAACTTTTCGTGTCCTGAGATGCTCGAGCCCATCCATAGGTACCAACGAAGGGCTCTGCAGCGCCAGCAGACGGTCCACGACCA